AAAAAAAAAAAAAAATCACTTAAAAAGTAGAGCAGCTCAGGGGCATTCAGCATGTTCTTAAGGCATTCCTGAATTGAGACAGAAGATAGAAATGACAACATCTTTATAAGGTACTCTGTAACTTCTGTTTTAAGCAGTGACAAACCAGGTAAGAAATTTTCTAAATATTTTCAAAAGTTAAAACAAAAAACTATGGCTCGGCACCTGTGGCTCAAGTAGCTAAGGTATCAGCCACATACACCTGAGCTGGTGGGTTTGAATCCAGCCTGAGCCCACCAAACAACAATGACAGCTGCAACCAAAAAATAGCCGGGTGTTGTGGCAGGTGCCTGTAGTCCCAGCTACCTGGGAGGCGGAGGCAGGAGAATCACTTGAGCCCAGGAGTTGGAGGTTGCTGTGAGCTGTGATGCCACAGCACTCTACCCAGGGTGACAGCTTGAGGCTCTGTCTCAAAAAAAACAAAAACAAAAACAAAACAAAAAACTAAAGCTTTTAAAGTTTAAAGGTAATATATCTCAGTTTTCTACAAAATTCATTTAGGTTATATGAACAATGCTATACAAATATGATCTATCCCCTTCATTCTCTTTCATGATGGTTGCAACACACACACACACGCTTTTTAAAATGGAGAAATAGGGCCGGACGTGGTAGCTCATGCCTGTAATCTTAGCACTCTGGGAGGCTGAGGCAGGTAGATTGCCGGAGCTCACGGGTTCTAGACCAGCCTGAGCAAGAGAGAGACCCCCATCTCTAAAAATAGCTGGGCATTGTGTCAGGTGCCTACAGTCCTTAGCTACTTCGGAGGCTGAGAATCACTTGAGCCCAAGAGTTTGAGCTCACTATTGAGCTATGACACTCTACCAAGGGTAACAAAGTGAGACTCTGTCTCCAAAAAAAAAAAAGGCCAGTAGTGGTGGCTCACTCCTGTAATCCTAGCACTCTGGGAGGCCAAGGTGGGTGGATTGCTTGAGTTCACAAGTTCGAGACCAGGCTGAGCAAAAAACAAGACCCCGTCTCTACTAAAAATAGAAAAACTGAGACAAGAGGATCGCTTGAGCCAGAGTTGGAGTTTGCTATGAGCCACATAGCACCACGTCACTCTACCCATGGCAACAGCTTGAGACTCTAATCTCAAAAAAAATAAATAAAATGGGGAAATAGGATTTGTTTAGCTTGTCTTAAAACCTTAACTATAATCTGCCCCTAGAAAGAATCCATAAGATTCTCCGTATTATTTCTTAGCTTGAATTGGAAGCCTAACCAATCAACACAAAGTGTCGCTGTTGTGTCATTCACCTAAGTCTTATCGCACTCCAGAATTCTCCCATGGAGCTATCACAGAGCAGTGGTTGTTAAATGTCATTTACTATAAGATACCCAATATTGATTCATGAGTCCTGGGTGGGACCCAATGCTATTTGAGTATAGGTGGTCATAGAGCACAATCAGAAGACCACTGTCATTCAGTCTCTCTTATCAAACCATACATATATAACATGTATTCAATTAGTATTTTGTTTTGTCCTCTCTCATAGATTTTCACCCAAGCTTTGGCAAATACGTGGCCTAGGATATAACATTCCAATAGTTAATCTCCACCTACTAAGTCCTCAAGGATATGTTTTATTAAGGTGTTCACTACTGAAGTCTACTTATTTCTCCCTAACAGTATGCAACATTTATTTATGTAGGCTCGGATTTTTCTGCTACTTTCTCAAATTGGCCAGTATATCAAAGGACTAAAAGACTCTGTTTCATCTATTTGTTTAAATATGTAGTTCTGTTTACTTCTTTTTTAACTACCCAAAGAATTCTAGATTTGAAGCAGGTAAGGGCATATGTGAGATAATTTTAAAGATCATACATTACCTCATTATACGGTGAAAAAATAAACTGAAAGATGATCAATAGTCCAATGAGAGTGGGTTGGCTGTCATAAAAACCAAATGCAGCAAAAAGCTCCTTTCGACCAATTAATATAGCAAACAAGAAAAAACACAGGAAAGAATTCATCTAGAAAGAAGGACATGAAATTTCTAAGTTACTACTAAGCTGATTTCACAGTGGGATCCACGGTACCCTAAATATGTAAGAAATCAGGTGATTGTGATTTTAAGAAAGGTGTTAGTGTGATCACAGAAAACCTATTTAAGTAGTTTTATACTTTCATTTTTATTCTCAAAAGGAAAATAAAATTTAAGCAAATGTATAAGCTATATCATTTTCTACAGAGCAGGCTTGAGCTGAGCCTCTTATAACTGGGGGTTCAAAGTAGTTAGTAGAATGGGATGTTTTCTCTCTGTAAAAAGGCAAAGCACTAGACTGGGTTCTGGCTTTGTTCTGTAAGACTGTAATCAGATACAAGGCCTCCCACCTGACCTCGATGTGAAGGCTCCAAAGCAACAGGCTTCCTTTGAATTCTCTTTAGGACCACTGGAGCTGACCTTTCTAGAAAGGTCAAAGAAAAAAGTAAATCTATCTTTATCAATAAATAAGAAAAAGACATCAAAAACCTATACCAAGATATGACTCCTTGGAGTAAAGCTGGAAAACAAATACCATTCTTATTTTCTTTTTTATTTTTTTTGAGACAGAGTCTCACTCTGTTGCCCTGGATAGAGTGCCGTGGTGTCATAGCTCACAGAAACCTCAAACTCTTAGGTTCAAGAGATCCTCCTCCTGGCTTGGCACCTGTGGCTCAAGTGGCTAAGGCACCAGCCACATACACCTAAGGTGGGGGATTCAAATCCAGCCCGGGCCCGCCAAAACAACGATGGCTGCAACCAAGAAAATAGCCAGGCATTGTGGCGGGTGCCTGTGGTCTCAGCTTCTTGGGAGGCTGAGGCAGGAGACTTGCTTGAGCCCAGGAGTTGGAGGCTGATGTGAGCTGTGACGCCATGGCACTCTACCTAGGGGGGATAGCTTGAGGCTCTGTCTCAAAAAAAAAAAGAGATCCTTCTCCTGAGTAGCTGGGACTAACTAAGCCCATCACAGAGTTTAGCTAGTTTTTTTTTCTATTATTTGTAGAGACGGGGTCTCACTCTTCCTCAGGCTGGTCTCAAACTCCTGAGCTCAGGGTATCCCTGCCTCAGCCTCCCAGAGTGCTAGGATTATAAGCATGAAAGACCATGCCCAGATATGAAAACAAATACTATTCCTTTCCTTTAATAGATGAGGACCACGGAGTCCACATATACAGGTACCATAAGACACTGTGCTGCTCCAAACCATTTACCAGTTTGCCAGCTTAGAATGGGGCTTAAGAGGACCCATATAGGTAAGAGGGCTTGCCAGCTACTCCAGGACAAAGTGTAAGCAGCTCTGCCCTTCACCCTTAAAATTCAGGGTATCCTGAATCAAGGGCTAAGGCGCCAGCCACATACACCTGAGCTGAGGGGTTTGAATCCACCCTGGGCCCACCAAACAACAATGACGAATGCAACCAAAAAATAGCCGGGCGTTGTGGCAGGCGCCTGTAGTCCCAGGTACTTGGGAGGCAGAGGCAGGAGAATCGCTTGAGCCCAGGAGTTGGAGGTTGCTGTGAGCTGTGATGTTACTGCACTCTATCCAGGGGGACAGCTTGAGGTTCTGTCTCAAAAAAAAACCTCACTGGATCCAGTATGACAAGCTCCAATATGACAAGCTCACAATGAAGACTCCTATACTTATAATCTATGAATTCATTTTTGTCAAGTAACCGTTGTCCTTTTGAAAAGTAAACTTTGGTTTGAAACTGGTATGCCTAGAAAGCATTCCATCATCAAATACATGTGGTGGATATAGGAGTGGAAATGAAGCAAGGCAGACATTAAATAAGCAGGTGGCTCATACTCTAGTATGCCAACTCTCAATCAACTCTGACTCAAGGACATTCCCAGTAATCATTTAATTGAGGAAGAAAAAAATTAGAGCCTATTTTACAGATAACCGAATACTGGCACCACCTGAAAGCAAACTGCTGCAGCATTACAGTACCACTCGGGATGCTCTTGGAAGGCAGTGGTGAAGGGCAATACTGTTAGTGAGGGGATCTTTAAGTACTATATCTCATTGTCTCCTCAGCCTGGGAGGAGAGAGGGTCTGAGCCAAGGATATATATACACTAATTCATTGGCAGTGGACAAATAATGGTTTGACTGGAAGATCCAGGCCTTGGAACAAAATAGAGGATGGTTACCTAGGAGATCTGGAAAAGAGGAATGTGAAAAACTTCTAAAATTAGCCCAGAGTTTGATTATAAGAGTCGCATGGTAGAGAAAGCTTTTGATGAGCAAGTGGGAAGACACAGCTGCTCTGTGAAGGTCATCCAACCTTTCTCCACAGCCACTCTGCAACTTGGTCAAAGGCTCATGACCAGAGTGGTCAAGGTAACAGAGATGGAGTTAATGCATTAGTCAGCAACACAAACGGCCCCCTGCCAACTGGCTCCTGCTGAGTGCCCAATCTGTTAGAAGTGGCAATCAACCCCAACCCTACCAAGGGACCATATCTCAGGGACCAGCCTACCACCTTGTTGGTAGGTTGATTCCACTGGAACCCTTCCTTCGTGGAAGGGGCAGTCATCTTCCATAACAGAGGGAATATTCAATTTGAACTTGGATTTTTCCATTTTTTCTTTGTTTTAGAATAAGAAACAAGGATGTAAAAATGAGGAGGTGCTTGCTGTACTAGCTGTACTTTGATATATTTAATATCTTATTGCCACATATCTATGCAAAATGGCTTCAAGCCAAGAAATTCACTTTTATAACCAAAGACGTAGGCAGAGGATCTCAACCTGTGGGTCACGACCCCTTTGTAACAATGAAAATATATCACAGCATTAGGAAGGTTGAGAACCACTGATATAAGGTGACAGGAAAGTGCACACAGGGGTTCAGAAGCCTCCCCATGTAATCCATCATTCAGAACCAGTTGGCCTTTTGGAAAGGTGTGAAGACTCACTTAAGATTCAATTATGGTCACCTATGCTTAATCATTCAACAAGCGTTATGTGTATTTTACCTGCAGACTGACTTTTTTTTTTTTTTTATGAGACAAAAGTCTCACTCTGTTGCCTTGGGTAGAGTGCCCTGGAATCATTGTAGCTCACAGCAACCTCAAACTCTTGGGTTTGAGCAATCTTCTTGCCTCAGCCTCCTGAGTAGCTGAACCATAGGCATGTGCTACACTGCCTGGCTAGTTTTTCCATTTTTTTAGTACCAATGGGGTCTTGCTCTTGCTCAGGCTGGTTTGGAACTCCTGAGCTCAAACAATCTACCCACTTTGGCCTCCCAGAGTGCTAGAATTACAGGCATGAGCCACTGCACCCTACCCCAAATCTGTTGGTTTAAAGGTATTAATACCCAAAGGAAGAATGTTACTTGAAGTGTTTTCCTCCTTATCTTTTCCACAATTTTCAATAAATATACAATTATTTACAAATGAGAAAACGTGAAAGTATTTTAATGTCCAACTTTACTAGGCTTGTTCCTTTTTGATCTTTACAGCTATTCTATCTGAGTGACTCTGGAGGTAATAACAATATGGTGGTAACAATAAACATTTATATATTTCAAGTACTAATCCAAACTCTTTGCATGTATTAACTCACTTAACTCTTAATCAGTTCTATGAGGTATAATTACTCTATAAGGAACTTACCTGAGGCCACACAAGTAGTAGGTCAGGGAGCTATGATGGGAATTCAGACAGACTGGCTATGGAGTCTGTCTTAACCTCTCTAATACATGACTTCTCATGCCCGCCATGCTTTTTATTTCACTACCATGCCATAGAAAAAGAACTTCATGCCTGTAATCCAGCATTTTGGAAGGCCAAGGGAGGGAGGAACACTTGAGCTCAGTTCAAGACCTCTCTCTACAAAAAATTAGGCTGGGCATGGTGGCTCATGTCTGTAATCCTAACTCTGGGAGGCCAAGATAGGGTGGATTGCCTGAGTTCACAGGTTTAAGACCAGCCTGAGCCACAGCGAGACCCCATCGCTAAAAATAGCCGGGCATTGTGGTGGGCACCTGTATTCCCAGCTACTCAGGAGGCTGAGGCAAGAGAATCACTTGAGTCCAGCAGTTTGAGGTTGCTGTGAGGTATGACACCACAGTTCTACTGAGCATGACAAAATAAGAGACCCTGTCTATAAATAAATAAATAAATATAAAAAATTAGCCAATTATGATGGCACACACCTGTAGTCTTGGCTACTTGCATGACTGAGATGCAAGGATTACTCAAACCCAGGCATTCAAGGTTGTAGTGAGCTATAATCACACCATTGCACTCTAGCCTGGACAAAATAACAAGACCTCATCTCTTAAAATATACTAATAACAAGCTGGGCACAGTGGCTCACATCTGTAATCCTAGCACTCCAGGAGGCTGAGGGTGGGAGGGTTCCTTGAGCTCAGGAGTTTGAGGTTGTTGGGGGCTAGGTTGATGCCACAGCACTCTAGCCTGGGCAACAGAGACAAGACTCTGTCTCAAAAATTATAATAATAACAATAATTGTCACTCCAAACTCACCTGGCTAATAATGATGTTTTTGACTGTGTGTCCCAACTTCCAGTGCCCCAGTTCATGTCCTAGTACAGCAAGCACCTCCTCATTTTTACATCCTTGTTTCTTATTCTAAAACAAAGAAAAAATGGAAAATAAATTATAGAGAACCTTCAAAGAGTTTATACCTTTAACCATAGTAATACTTTCATAGAAAACAATCAAACTTTTGTGCAAAACTATTCACTGTCTTAACAAAGCAGTCTGTGAAATACCACTCCACGTGAGATACTAGGTTAACCTCTCAAGAATAATCAGGAAAAAGACAGACATTCCCAGGCTATGTAAAGCTTACTATACAGATTAATTTTGACTAGACAAAAATATAAAGGAATTAATAAATCTGGCTGGGCACAGTGGCACATGCCTATAATCCTAGTACTCTAGGGATCAAGATGGGTGGATTGCTTGAGCTCTGGAATTACAGACCAGCCTGAGCAAAAGCAAGACCCCATCTCTACTAAAAAAGAAAAAAATTAGCTGGGTGTTGTGGCAGGCACCTATAGTCCTAGCTACTTGGAAGCTGAGGCATGAGGATTGCTTGAGCCCAGGAGTTTGAATGAGGTTGCTGTGAGCTATGATGATGCCAGGGTACTCAACCCCAGGGTGACAGAGTTAGACTCTATCAAAAAAAAAAAAAAAAA